CGGGCCGGGCTGAGGGACGATGTGTGTGTGTGTGTGTCCGCCCGCAGGAGCTGGAGGCCATCCCCATGTTCATGAAGCGGTGCCCGGCCGAGATCGACGCGGCGCGGCAGCCCGAGCTGGCCTGTCTGCAGTCCCTCCTCTTCGACGAGGAGCAGGGTCCCGCAGGTGGGCAGCCGGGGCTGAGGAGGGCGGGGGGGGGTCTGTCCCTGTCTGTCGGTCTGTCCCTCCGGCCCTGGCCCGGGGTGCTGGTGGGGAGCCGTGCCCCCCCCCCCCTCAGGCCCTGTCCCCCTCCGTCCCCGGCAGAGCTGGCCAGGATGTACAAAAACGAAGGGAACGAGTACTTCAAGGAGAGGGACTACGGGAGAGCTGTCGTCGCCTACACCGAGGGGCTGAAGAAGAAGTGCGAGGACCCCGAGCTGAACGCCGTGCTGCACACAAACCGGGGAGCCGCGCAGTTTTACCTGGGTAAGGAGACGTGCCCCGTCCCGCCTCGGACGGGGCTGGGAAGGGGGCTCCTACCTGTCTGATGGATCCCTGGCCTTTCGCTGCTTGCTCCTGGCGCGCTCTTTCTTCCTCCGCTCGCCTCGCAGCGATCGTAGGAACGGTGCGTTGTAGAGTCTCCGCGTGAGCTGTTTTCTCACCGTGGGATCTGCCTGGGTTTTAAACGCAAACCAAAGGTTCTGAGCCGTTTTGCTTGCTTTGTAGGTAACTACCGTTCTGCGCTCAATGATGCCATCCAAGCAAAAAAGCTAAAGCCCACCCATCTCAAAGCAGTCATAAGAGGTAAGAGTTAAAGCACGCGTTACCGCGTGGAGCGCCCGGAACATCATTTCAAAACAGCTTTGCACACCTTGTATTTACTTACTAGGCTCTTAGTGTTACAAGCCCTGGAACAGACTTCTTGTTGGATGTTGATTTGTTTCGCTGCATGTTTCTGTGTGTCAAATAACACTGTTTATAAACCCGAAATTACTGTGAGCATGCGTTCATACTTTGTTTCAGGGCAGCATTCATTTCAGAACATTAAAGCAGTTACTGTACCAGATCTCTTGTTTTCTTATTGCTGCTTCTCCCCAAATCAGAGCTCTGCATTTTGTTTTGGGATTTTCAGTCAAAATGCTATCTTTTCCCTCTTTGCTCTATAGCTTCTATATCTGTCAAAGAGGCAGGCATTGGATCTGTTTTTGTAAAGCACAACATAACTTTTGCTGTTTTCCACAATACTAGTTTTTGGGTTTGGTTTTTTTTTTTCCCCCAGCCTTTCTCACTCCATGGAAATGGCCACTTTCTTTTTCCTTATGAGACAAATACTGATATGTTAATTATAATCATAAAATTTTGCTTGTAACAGACACTTCTAGCATCATTCTGCTGATTTCTGTGACTAGTTGAGCAAATGATACAAGAATTGCTGAAATATTTTAGATTTTCTTCTCAGCTGACCTGCTGGGAGTCTACGATTGAACATGACCCTGCAAGACAATAGCATGCGCTGCCGTGTATGCCTCTTGAAA